AGCAGCCGCCCAGCATCGGGGCCCCTGCGAAGGCCTGAAGTCTGAGTGCTGGCTCTGGAAGTGGACAGCCACATAGCTCGGGAGTACCCTTCCCCAGGGGCCTGGCCTCAGCTCCCCCATCATCCACACTGGCACCTTCTGAAGCCACCCCTAATTTTAAAATATTCAATAATAACATTCTTTACTGTGGAAAACTTAGTCTTACTAATCATATGTAAAGTGTGGACAAAGGGATCTTTAGAAAACAAGGAGGACACAATGTGTTTGCTATGCACACATGGCTTTAAGAGAATCCCTCTAACTAGGTGCTGCCCTAAGTCCTACATGTTCTGCCTGTAGGGGAGTGGTGTGGGTGCAGGCACACACAGAGATGGCAGGGGAAGGATGTGGTGGGAAGAGACAGGATAGAAAAGAGAGAAGGAGGGATGCCTGGTGGCTCGGTCGGTTAAGCGTCTGCCTTCAGCTCAGGTCTTGATCACGGGGTGCTGGGATTGAGCCCCCGCATCGGGCTCTCTGCTCAGCAGGGAGTTTGTTCCTCCCTCTGCCTGCCGCTCCCCCTGCTTGTGCTCTCTCTATCTCACTCTCTCTGACAAATAAATAAATAAAATCTTAAAAAAAAAAAAGAGAGAGCGAGAGAGATTGAGAGAGAGAAGGTAGGCTCCGGGTGATATGCTACTCTCTCTGGTCACAGATGACATCTGGGCAATGAAGGATGGACACAACCACCCACGAGGTACAGACCAACTAAGACCCTAAGATTATATTCCTGGGGAAAAAGAAAAGCCAGACAGATAGAGAGGAACAGAAGAAAAAGGAGACGAAAACATATACAAAGACAGAGATAAAAACACATCACGATGGACCTAATAAGAAAAATATCCAGAACAAGTCAGACTAAAGGAAGATGCCGGAGCTGAGGTCCTCCCACCAGGCTGACATGGAGCGGCTGGGTGACCTTTCAGGGATGAATGAGGGCGGAGCATCTCAGCTTTCACAGCTGTAAACTGAGTAGGCTGAATGAACCCCATGGGCCTATGGGTCCTCCCCACTTTGTATGTATCACGAAGCCCACAAGCCAGGATAAAAAAAGCATAAAACAAACTTAGCTCTTATCTTCCCAGAAGGAAAGCAATAGCGCAGTCCCACAATGAGAGACTGAGTGGGTTAAGTGGACTTTGAAGATTAGAAGACTTCATTAGGGAACAGAAGAAAAAGCAGCAGAAAGCACGTAAAGTGTTACATCCGACAGACCTCATCCCCCAGCCTTCAGGGCCCTGGGTACCTACAGGAAACCATCTGCTAATGAAGCCCCAAGCCCAGCTCCTGCTAAAGCCTCACGGAAGGGATGGCTATAAAATCATAAAATCATGGCTATTGAGTGACTAATTTTTGAGACATCTCAGACTTCTAAAATGGCACTGGAAAAAGAAAAAGCAAGTTTAAAAAGAAAAAAACAAAGGCAGAAAAGAAATCTTCAGAGCCAAGAAGTTACCTCTGAGGACTCAGCGACAGTTAACACGCAGCCAAGAAAAGCTGAAGGCTTGCAGAGCATACCTGACACCCCTGGACTGATCAGTTCCCTAAGCACCTAGCATGCCTTGACTGATGTTTAAAAAAAAAAAAAGGGTAGTAGGACAGGGACAGACTAGATAAGAATTAAGAATAAAGGGCACAGAGCAATAATGGTCATGCCACTGCCTGATGACATAGGAGTAAGCAGCAGGCTCTCACAGGTAGGAACGGTAAAGGGAGGAGTGCCCGTGACCACCCCTTTACCTGTCACCTGCTCACCCTCCTTTACTTTTATGCCACCTTTGGAGGAAAAGGCCAGGTTCTAAAGCTCAAGTGGACGACCTACAGACTCGGGTGGTTCCTGTGTATTGCATGCTTTATGCTGCAAGTGGCCACTTAGCTGTCCTACAACGTGGGGCCCTTGAAAGAAAGGATGGGCTGTGTAACGTCCAAACTCTCCTCTTAACCAAAAATTCTGAACTCTGAGGTTCTGTGTGTTGGAAGAGGGAGGGAAAAGAAAGTTGGCAAATAGCCAAAGAAGTGGTTTGACATCAGGGACTTTTCCTAGAAAATTCTATAGTAGGGTCAATACCCTCTCATTCCATGACCTAGCCATACCATGGATATCTAATCATCATCCTCCAATAATTGTGCATGACTAGAGCTCTCAATCATCATGGAAAGGCCAAACTATGTTTGTCATATCTGCATAAGTTTGCAGGTGTTATAGACCGAATGTTTGTGTCGCCTGCCAAGATTCATTATGTGATAATTCTAACTCCTACAGTGAAGACTTCTCTTGGACCTTACAGGACTGGACCATAGAGCTACTTGGCTATGAACATTTGCTATTCTTTAAGACACAGGAAGAAGGATCTCAAAGGCAATTGGGAGATTATCTGAGCTGTCATTTCCACCACAAGCCTTAGAGTGCATGGGCCACTGGGCAGGTGGAGAGTGGGGAGAGTATCTCCACCTGAGTTTCAAAAGGCAAGATCAACACCCAGCAGAGCCATGGGGGCAGGCCAAACTCCAGGTGGGCAGAGCTATGGAAACAGGCTATTATTACCCTAGTAGGTCTGGAAGGCAGAGCACTGAGCCAAAGAGGACTGATTATTCTTTTTTTTTTTTTAAGTAAACTCTACCCCCCACATAGAGCTGGAACTCATGACACTGAGATCAAGTCACATGCTCTACCGCCTGAGCCAGTCAGGCGCTCCCAGGATTGGTTATTCTTGACCCTTAAAGTCTCATCCAGTTTGCCTTCCTGGTTTTGAACTTGCTTGGGACTTGTCACCCTCCCTTCTTTCCTATTTCTCCCTTTTGGAATGGGAGTGTCTGTCCTGTGCCTGTCCCACTACCAGACTTTGTAAGCACATGTTTGGTTTCATAGGTGCACAGCTGGAGAGGAATTCTGCCACAAGATGATCTTGTGTTATTTAAGCCATCCGGTCTATGGTATTCTGTTACAGCAGCCTGCACTGACTGAGACAGGTCTTCACATCTTGAAAGGTTTCCACTAAAAATTTAATCTAGAAGCTTGAGTGGTTGGAGAGTTAAACTCAGCTGTCAAATAACTTGGTTATCTAAAACAATTCATTCTCTGAAGGATTCAGTCATGATTTTACTGGCTGGATTCCTCCACTCCCAGCAAAAATCACGTAGTGCTACATAAGATTAAGCAAAAATACAGAACAAAATGCCATTGCCATCATCTTGGAAAGACTGAAGGCCTGTAAATCACTGATACTGTGATTTACAATAAGAACTACAGATTTGGTCTTTGTGCCCTTTTCTGGCGCAGAGCTCCTAAAGCCCTTGCAATTTCAAGTGATGAGAATAATGAATATTTTTTGCTATGTTAATGAGACCTGAGGAAACTACCTAAGGATGGGGCTGGTTGCCAGTGGAGACAAACATGTGATTAGAGAGTTGAAACTTTCAGTCCCATCCCCAAGACCTCCAGGGAAGGGTGAGAGGCTGGAGGTTGAGTTCATTTCCCAATAGCCAATGATGCAATCAATTATGCCTATGTAAATGAGGCCTCCAAAAAAACCAAAAGGATGGGGTTTGGGGAGCTTCTGGGTTGGTGAACACTTTTCTGACGCCAGAAGAGTGACACGCTGGAGAGTGCATGGAAGCTCCTAGTCCCTTCCCACATACCTTATCCTATGCATCTCTTCATCTGACTGTTGATGAGTATCCTTTGTAATAAACTGGCACTGTCATCTAGTGAGTAAACGCATTTCCTGCATCCTGTGAGCCACTATAGTAAATTAATCGAACCCAAGGAGGGGTCATGGGAAGCCCTGATTTATAACCATTTGGTCAGAAGCACAGGTGAAAACCTGAACATGCAATTGGCATCTGCAGTGGGGGGCCATCCCGTGAGCCCTTAACCTGTGGGATCTGATGCTAACTCTGGGTAGACAGTCTCAGAATTGAGTTGAACTGTAGGGCCGCCAGCTGGTGTCCAAAAATTGCTTACTGGTGGGGGAATACCCCCAGCCCTGCTGCTACTTGCCTCCCCCAACACACATAATTTGGAATTCGTATTAGAACTTTGTTACCATGGTAGATTTCCAAGTAGCAAAGAGTAGCATTCACAACGGGCTTCTTATATTACACATTACATTCTACTGAATAGATGGGAGGATAGAAAAGAAACACACCCTCAAGTATGATGTTTAAACCCAAGTATGGCCCTTGGAGCATAATGCATAGGTAAGACTAAAAAATTTCAAAATATCTTAAGAGTAAAAAACACAGGATATAAAAAGGAAGTGTTTAGAAATGGTTACAGAGAATAAGCAGAGAATATTCTAGGGAGAAGTTACTGAAGAGGAATAAGAAAAAACAAAGCAAGGGACAATTCAGAGGAAAGGGATGAATCTTAAGTATGACAGCTTTTATTTTATTTTTAAAGATTTTATTTTATTTGACAGAGAGAGCGAGAGAGAGTGAGCACAAGCAGGGGGAGCGGCAGAGGGAGAGGGAGAAGCAGACTCCCCACTGAGCAGGGAGCCCGATGCGGGGCTTGATCCCAGGACCCTGGGATCATGACCTGAGCTGAAGGCAGACGCTTAACTGACTGAGCCACCCAGGTATCCCCTTTAAAAAAAAACAAAAAACAAAAAACAAAGACTTTTCCTCACTCTATAATCATGATGGGGGATAAAATTCACAGTAATGATTGTCTTTTTTTCACCTGATGATGAAAATTCATATCCCAAATGCATGATCAGCAACATTTACTGTGATTAAAGATCACCTGGGACAACACATTATTTAAGTAATATTCATACAGCATTGACCCTGTCCTTAGCAAAAAGGACTAAATAATAATTGAGTATTTTAGGACTCAGCTGATATAGCAAAAATAGCAACCAGAACAACAGCTGACACTTACCGAGAGCTTACAATTTGTCAGTCACTATTCAGAGAATTTAACATGTATTAATTTAGTGAATGCTTTCAACAGTACCTACCTGACAATCTCCATTTACAGAACAGAGAGACTCAAGCACTTGGGAAGAAGCTGGGGGACTTCCCCAGGGCCACAAAGCTAGCCAGTGGCGGAATGGGCAGTTTGCCTCCATAGCCTGTGCCCTAACCACCACAGATTAGGTTTTTATTCCCATTTTCTGGTTTCATCTTCTAGATGGCATACCTCCCAAAAAACACCAAAGGGTACAATGCACAGGAGAAATGTGGTAAAGCATGACATCACTTACCATTGGGAAAAGCTAACACACTGATGATAAGGAAGAAGAAAATGACAGAGAGGATGCCCCTCCAGATGTTGTCCTCTGGGACAGAGTCATCCCTGAAAACAGAAAAGAAAACACGGAGTATTCATTTTCAGACCTAAACAGTCAATCCAGAAGGCATAGGAGTTCCATGTTCTAAATACCGGGGACTGTTAACTTCATTTTGCAAGCAAAGTCTTTACACACACTACTTACTCCTCACTATCCTTTCCTAAAATAACACAACCTTATACTAAAGTCCAGTCTTACAAGAAATGCAGTTGGCAACCCTACATACCGACACACATTCCACTGAGACAAAACATCTGAGGATCACTCTTCTTTATAAATTAAAAAAAAAAAACCAAAAAACCAAAAAACCCAGGATGTCAAAAGGTAAGGTTTATTTTGGAGAAATGCCTTTTGATTTCAATAATCACTAAAGATGACCTTTATGATGTACACTGTGGCAAAGAAATCTTTTGAAGTCAGAAAGAAAGCATAAGATTATAAGGAAGAAGAGCATAATGCAATGAGATTATCAATTCTTAAAAACGGGCAGTTGGCCATCTAAGGGATGAAAGAAAAGGGCAAAATGCTGGGTAATAAGGAAGCACCAGAAAACAATATTAAAAGAAAAATCATGAGAAAACAGAATACAAGATTTACGGTCAGACCAGAAGCAAAAGCCCTATAAAGAAAGGGGATGAGTTTCCTCCCTCTGTGCCTGGTCATTTCTATTGCTGTATTTATCTCTTCCATAACCCTAGTAACTGAAATGATTCCATTTATTAGTTGGTATGTTGTCTGTCTTCAATACAGAAAGTAAACTCCTGGGGCACCTGGGTGGCTCAGTCAGTTAAGTGTCCGACTCTTTATTTCAGCTCAGGTCATGATCCCAGGGTCATGAGATTGAGCCCCATATTAGGCTCCGTGCTGGGCATGGGGCTTGCTTAGGATTCTCTCTCTACTCCTTCTTCTGCCCCCACTCCCCTGCCCTGCCCTGCCAAAACAAAACAAAAGGATATATAGAAAGTAAACTCCTGAAGGCAGGGCATTATTCACTCATTGTATCCTCAAAGGCTGGCACACAATAAGCCCTCAGTGGATATTTGTGGACTGATTACTGATTACAAAGAAAATCTATTGTATAAAACCATGTAAAATTTCCCAAATGGAAATTTTCTTAACATTGATGGCAGAGAAAAATTAGGTTTTGACAGTTTATATTAAAAAAAAAAGGAAAGTCTAGTAGCATACTTGGGGCTCAAGAGAATCAAACAAAGGAGGGAAAACAGAAGTCTCACACAGTAAGATTTTCTGAATTATTGATAATTATTAAGAAGCTCGAGAGAGGGAAGTCCAGAGTTTTCAGTTTAAAAACGTGCAGGATGAGTAGAGAGAAAATAGGAGAAAAGAACGGAAGGAGATATTTAGACATAATGAGACTAGTAGCAATAAATTCAAAAGTGATTTTTGAAAGTTGGGTTTATCTGTGCAAGGACTGCAGTGAAAGAGCTTTCAAAAGACAGATATTAAATTAAGATTAAACATTACTGAAGGAAAAGAAAAGAGGTCAAAAAAAACCTTACAGGAAAATCAAGTTAACATATTAAAAAAATCTAGAACATCAGAATACATGAAGAGGTGTGGAATGAAATGGTAATCAATTACCCAATTAAAGACTAGGTCCTGGGGTATTGGGCTTCCAAAAGAGAAGTTAGTTTAGATACCAACTTCTGTTCATGCTAACTTTCTGTACCCAATTAAATGATTTCCAGATTTATAACAGGACTGAACATAAGGTTCCGAGGTAAGAGATAACACAGATCCCATTCCTTAAATCATCATCTGGCCCAACAGCACTAACACTAATGCTGGACAAACAATGCTTCACTGTTAACTTCATAGATCTGCTTATAAAACCAAACTACCCAATCAGATGGACTTCCTCTTGCAGCAAAGTGTAATCATATTTTAATGTACACCCCAACAATTTAACATCTGCCCAGAAGTTATGAACATGGACGGCCCTAAAAATGCTAGCCCAATCATTTACTAGGGTACTTGCCATGGCCTTTGGCTTAGGGAAGCCCTATGTCCAATTTCCAAGACGAGCTTTTATTGAAGAATGGCTACCCACAGGGACTGGGGGAACACAACGTCCTCATTCAGGCCAACATCCCACTACCGATACCAGTAACAATAATGACAATAACAACAGCTCCCCTTTATCAAGTATTTACTGTGTACCAGGCACTGGACAGGCAGTTTTGAAACATCATCTCTAACTGTCACAACCCATCTGTGAAATGGGGTACTATCAACCATATTTTACAAATGAGGTAACAAAGGCTCAGGAAGGTTACGTAATTCTAATTTGCCCAAGCCTATAATTTTAAGAAGTTGCAGAGTTCCCATTTGAAACCAGGTCTGCTAGACTCTGAAGATGATGAGCCAAGCTGCCTCCTAAAAAAATTATGTCATCCTAAATCTATCTGACTCATGTTAGATGCACAGGGATGGTATAAAAGAGTTTGACAGGGCGCACATAAAAGCAAGGCTGAAATAAATTAACTGTTGCCTGCGAAAAGAAGGTTGATACTGTAACTCATACTTTTTACTAAAAATATATTCTAGATGATTGGAAGAAGTAAAAAAAAAAAAAACCAAACAACAACAACAAAAAACCAAAACCCCAAAACCAAAAATCAAAAACCCAAAAAAGCTCTGGAAGAAACAATGGATGAATTAAAAAACCAAAAACAAAACACACCAATGCCAGGGCACGCTGCCCTGCCAACTCTCCTGGTTCTGACAACCTTGACCACAGCCCTGACTTCTCCCCAAGGCCTACTGCCGCCATCGGCCACAAATGTCTCAATCTCTGGTGCTCTGGACTTGCCAAGCAACTTCCGCAACTGGCATTTTCTTTGCACGGCCCCGCAGTTCTGTGGAGGAGTATTATCTTGACTTGGAGGAGGAAGGAGATAAAGCTCTTGCTTTCTCTGGCCCACAGTTACACACAAATAAGAGGCTGAGTGGAAGTAGGAGCCAGGGCTTCTGGAACATTGGCTCTAGGTCAAGACTGCTACATTTACCAAAATGATACAGACAGACAAGCTGGGGGTGTGGGGGGGTGTGGGGGGGAGTAGGCCAAGTCCTTTTCCCTCTCTGCCAAATTTAGGAGGTGCTCCGGAAGCATGTGGGGGTAGCCCTGACTACATACAGTGAAAATACTGAATGGGCAGATTACAATAAAACCGTAATTTAACCTCCAGAGGGCACATATTCCATCTCATTCCCCTGAGGTACCTCGGGCGCCCAGCACAATCCTTGGCCCATAGCAGGCCTTCTCAAAACAGTGGGTGCCAGAATGAGCGAGACGCTATGGCTGAGTGGGCCCAGCGACTCAGGTCAAGTGAGGGTGAACCACAGCCTGAGCCCACGGAGTCCACTAACGGTGGCTTTCCTGTCCCGGTGGGGATGGCCAGTCAAATATTCAAACACTTCAACTCCTTCTGTCAAATGCTGTTTCAACCAATATAAGGAACTAACTGCCCAGAGAACAGAGAATGTCCTAAAAGCAGGAAAGGTATAAAGGAAAGCCCTGAACTAAAAAAAGGCTGCACTCAGAAAAATTTTAGACTCCGTTTCTGTGTCAGTTTAGTGTCTGACTATAGGCAGGCAGTGGGCGAGGCCGACTTCAGGAAACCGAAGCACACTCCACGCAGTCACTCACATGTCACCTCGACAAGGCTTCCTCCCTGGGGCCAGGCAGAAAGGAACCTTTTACCAGGACTCCTAAGGCTGCTAAGTAGGTTGCCTCCCTCCCCCAATCTTCTCCTACCCTTCCCTTTAATAGGAGTCCTTGAAATTCAGACACACAGGTAGGGTCATGTTGATAAGGCCGGTCCCTGTTAAGGATCCTCTCTCCCAATGGAAAACCTAGTCCCAGGTTACAAGGTGGAGCGGTGTTAACTAGCTTTGGTATTGTCTTTAAAGACTACATTCATTTCATTTTACAGTAAGTTATAATCCTTGTTGAGAATTATAACTTAGATCTATCAACGAAAGGAGAAGAGTGATTTTTTTTAAAGTTCTTACTGGATAAATGATTTCCTGTATTTGATTCATTTAGCATTTACTGGGTGTGTATCCTGGGATGATGAAGGTATTTGGCCTCAAAAAATTGATATAGTAACAAATACTATAATGCCAATAAGAGACACACAATAATAAGAGATATTTGGAAGTATATAAACATGTCTTCCTCAAACAATCGAGAAAGGTGTCCGGGAAGGCGCCCATCCAGGTGGACTGTGCAGGATACCATGGGCTCGTGGGTAGACAGGAGGCACCGGGAGGTGCTCTCTAGCAGCAGAGGGCCGCCAGCCTGGCACTGGGTGTGGAGTCGGTGAGCCAGCTGGGCCTGCTGTGTGCCCTGCGTGCAGGTGTCGGGGGTGGGGGACAAGGCTAGAGAAGGAAAACTCCTCCACAATGAAAGACCTCAGAGTCCAGCCAGCATTCCCTACAGGTGATGGGGATGCAGTGACAGACTGTATGCAGGGACAGATGGGGTCACAACTTTGTCTTAGAAGGTCATGAGGGCAGCGGTGTGGAGGACAGGTGCGAGGGAGGTGGAATAAAGGTTTGGGAGCATACTATCCCAAAGGATAAGGGCATTGCTGAGCTAAGGCCTGGGCCTGGGCAGAAGAGAAGAGCTCTGAGAGCTGTAAAGGCCCAGTGAGACCTGGGGAAGATAAACTAGGTCTACTCCAGGTGAGCAGACACCTGGACCGTTGAATAGCTGAACTGAATTAAACGGGATACCAGGGCCAGGGGCTCAGAAAGCAGTTGTGGCTGACTGGATAAGACCTGGTTTCTGGATTCAATGAGACTGAAAACCTGCTAACTTCCCTACAAAAATCTGAGGCTACAGAAATTATTAGCACAAGACTAACTGTATTACCCTCGGTAACAGAATTATAGCTAAAATGCTAAACACCAGGTAGCAATTGGTAGGCATGCAATCTCTCTGAGGTAAGGCAGCATTTAAACCAAATAAACATCGGAAGTCACCCAGGAACCTATTTCCTACAGAAGACCCCAAAGAAATATAGGATTCATTTTCCCCTCCAATAAGCTTATAATCGTATTAGGGACCTAAAACACCAGACATAAATATAAGAAAGGATATAGAAGATGCTTACTGAAATCCAAGGAGAAATATGATTCAAATAGGAAGTGGGGAAGAGAAACGTGAAGATCACTCGTAACTGGACCTCATCAGAGGGCACCACCTGACAGTGTACTCTGTTCCCCGCCCCCACCCCACCAGGGCTGGTTTAACCCCAGCACACAGCCGCTGTGGACCATCACTTAATAGAGCTGGTGTCAGGGAACAAGGACATCCAGGCCTTCTGTTAATGGGAGAGAAAGAACATGATGTACACAAAGGAAACAGAACCAAGACAACTGAATCAGCAGCATCAGGAGACGTTTTCTAATGGGATTTATATGGGCTAAAGGGGAAAAAATGGGGAAAGTTGGCAGGTCTCCATGAGGGAGGTGACAAAGAAGGCAGAACTAAGTAAGGCTCAGGGACCTGATGAAGAACGGGAGCTCCAAGTCTACTCAGGGAAATGAAATAAAAACCATTCTTAACAAGTAAATAAGAACAAATCAACCAAAAGTCTGTCCATGTCCCTGCCCTCCTCTGTCTCCTGAGTCTCCTATCAAGGAGAAAGCCAGCACAGACAGACTAGGAAGCACTCAGGGACAGCAAGCTGCAGGAAGGCAATCTCTTCTGGGGTAAGTGAGGATTGGATGAGGTTCTCGGACAGGCACTCCTGGAGAGGTGGATTCCATGGTTTTATTGCCGAGTGCCTCTTAAGGAAAGGGTGGGCTGCTGTGAACGGGATTTAGTAGATTTGGGTGTTTTCAAATCTGATGTTTGAGTTTTTGCCATGAGGGCCATTCACTATGTCCAAGTTTGCCAATCTCTGAAAGCAGAATAAATATGAAACACCTCAGTAATTATACTCTGAACTTGAGACAAAGGTTCTCCCTGCTCCATTTTGGCTGAACAAACTTCCAAGACTTATGCCAAAGCATTTATCTTATAAGAAGACTTATTCTAAAATGTGGCAAAATGAGCTTGAGGAGAATGATTCGATGGCATCTGGTTTATTTTTAATGATAGTGAAAGAGACAGGAGATTTAAACACTATGATTTAACAGTGGGTTGGCCTAGTTGCTATTTAATAAAAGAACTACTTGACAAACACAAACCTGTCTCAGACTTCTGTGCGTGGTATCTAATCCTAAACGATCCTAAATTCTTGCTGTGTCTCTGCAGTATGTGACAGGACCCAGCTACTGTTGCTCACCTACTGGTCATACGGCACCCCAAAAGTATTCGATCTCCTGTTCTCTACATCACTAGTCTTTGAAAAACACACTTTTTCACTGTTACTGAAGGAACTGCACTGAACAGTCATCCAACTAATCCTGTTATAAAGTAAGGATAAGGTACTGGAGACAATCATTACAAAAGAGCAGAGAATGAATAATCTTCATTTAAGAAGTCGCTACTTTCAATCTTTATGGAGAAAGAGCGATCACTGTAATGTCCCACTTTAAAGGGTCACAAATCATTACAAAAAATGAGTAAGAGGTAGTAAGTACCAACTGCACTAATGGTGCTTATGATTTTATAGAAGGTGAAACTTGTTATTAATGAGTTCTTGAACAGATGGTTTCTCTTTATGAAATTATTGGAAGAAATAAAAAGATTATTATTTTTGGAAAAGACCATAGGCTGAGGTTCAGATTATGCCTTTTCTATTACTTTTGACAAGCTATTAAAATTCATATTCTCTGCTGCAGTTTATCGACTGCTTTGGCAGAATATGCTGTAAAAGGGAAATTACAGAAGAATGTGACTTTCTGTAATAGAAAAGAGGAAGAGAGATCTATTCTTAGAGGGCCTAGAATAATATTAAAGATAAAAGGCTGGAACAAACCGCTCATTCTTTTTCTCATTGTTTAGAATAAAATACCATAATTACTTTTCTTATTTCCAAAGAGACTCTTGCACTAATTCCGTCATTGTCAACCCACACAGGAGATTAAGTTAAACTGAAATTAATACTAAACAGACATGTATGTTATCCAAGCAAAGCAATGTCCATTATTTCAATGCCTTCATCCTTTTTCTCAATAATAGAGCATACTTCCTCCTCGCTCCTTGACAAATATAATTTAGAAGACATTAGCATACAATGAAACGATGTAACAGTTATGGCTAATGTTTACTGAGCGCTTACTATGTGGCATGCACTGATCTAAACACAGATTATCTAAAAAAATGAACTAAATCCTCATGACAGATAATCCTATGGGGAATTAATAGATATTTCCATTTTACATATAAATAAGGAAACTGAGGCTTAGCAAAATTAAGTGGCCACACTGCTATTAAGTGGTAAAATCGGATGACATAATGAATGAAGTATTTGAGAGTAACCATGATTAGGGACAAGAATGAGTTTTCTCCCAGGCTAGAAATATGTTCTTGGTTGGATACTATGGAAAGGTCTGGTCTTATCCCACTGCATAGAATTAGCAGAAGACTTTATAATCATAGTAGCTGTATCCCTCAATCATTAAGAGTAATAGTTACATATGCTTTATAGTTTCAGGTAGATGTATGCAAACAGATAAACACAAAATAAGACCCAAGAGTCAAATGGATTGTGGAGGTCAGAAACAAGTGTGATGTGGGAAGATATTTAGTTTTATGAAAATCTGAAAGATTGCAGTGATTCCCAATGCAGGCACCCCTGGCACCTGCGCGTGTGCAAGTGTGCATGTGTATGTATGTGTATATCTTGCAGGTACATGTGCACACACAAGCATTTATATAGGGGACAGTTCATTCTTCGTTGTACAGTGCTGTCCCGTGTGTCATAACACATCTAGCGTCCTTAATCTCCACCCACTAAATACCATAAGTGCCAATCCTTGTGACCACTCAATATACTTCTGCACATTTTCTGCTGACCTGGAACAAGAACCATTGATTGCTGGATAAAAATACTGAGAGAAGTAACTGACGTTAATTGTGCGTTGTGAATGAGGTACTCTGCTAAGTGCATTCACACATATTCATTTATTACTCATAAACCCGTATAAGGTAAGTACATATTTTATCTCCATTTTACAAGTGTGGATCCTGAGGCTCAGAGAAAGGTTGAGGAACTCAACCATGGACACACAGACACTTGAAGCCAACAGTCTGGCTCCAAAACTACACTTCTCTGGGTTGATCTTGTAAGCCATAAGAGTGTGGTAGGCATGCTTTTCCTTTAAAGAGGTTCAGTCAGAAAATACAAATCCTTGTTAAGTAGGACCCATAGTGTGTATGTCATTATGAACCTGGGATGCAATATTTCCCTGGGTTGGAGGTGAGGGGCCACATGTTCAGTGACTAGTTATATGATGTAGGTATCAAGAGTTGGGCTGGAGAGCTCCTATGCACAAGTATATATTAGAACAGCTTTGAGCGACTGTGTGTGTGTGTGTGTTTTCGGGGAGAAAAGAGTTGTTTATGTGTTGAGGTTTATGTGTTTTATTTATCACTTCCACAGCATTTACTATGCACCAGGCACTGCTACAATTGCTTGACAATATCTCATTGTGTAGCAATGTACAAGAGGTGATAGGTAGCAGCTGTGCTGGAAGGAGAAAGGTCAGCTTTGATACAGATCTACATCATTTGTGTTGTGGTCCTGTTTGAGGCTGGGGGAAGGGTTATGCTAGATGGTTTGTGTGCCACGCATACCAGAGGTGCTGCATGGGAAAGACTGTGTAGTGCAACTTCCATGTGCATTTTGTGCATGGCCGGTAGTGAATACTGGAAGAGATCCAAAGGAAGGGGTCCTGGTTGTGTCCTGGGCCTGTGTACGGTGCGTGAAAACGCTGTGGACCGGGGTGCTTTCAGCGTGTAGCGGTATGTGCTGAAAGTGGTGCAGAGGAGATGATTCATACGGTGTGCTCGGTAGGGACGGGGGCTGGAGAGGAGGGGGGCGCATCGTGATGTGTGTGGGGAGCGATGCTCAGTACGATAGGAGAGGTGGGCATCGCGCTAGGTGACCCGCGAGTGCTCCTGATGTGGCCCGAAGCGCTGTATAGGAGGTAGTATAGGGTGGGGGTTGACGGTGGGGGTTGGAGGGTAGGGGCGAACGCCAGTCCAGAAGCGCTGTCGGGCAGGAAGCTAGGTGTGCTGTGAGACACCGCGCTGGTGGAGGAGCTGATGGGCGGTGGGTCTGCGAGTGTGTGCGTGGAACAGCCAGCACGATTCCTCATCCAGAGCTCCAGCGGCCCACGCTCCTCACCACCGCCTCCCGCCCTCACCACCGCCTCCTTCCCTTCGCCCAAGGGCGCTCCCTCCACGCGGCCCGGCCCGTCTCACCGGGTGAAGGCGAAGTACATGAGGCTGACGATGGTGAAGCTGAGCAGGGTGATGGTGTGCGGCCGGTAGAAGAAGTCGATGGTGATGTCCTCCACTTGCTGCTCGTTGATCATCCGGAAATGCATCTTGTAGTTCACATCATCTTTGCTCAGGGTCCGACTCCCCACGCAGGACGCCATGGCCCGCCTCCCCGTCCTGCGGCGGCGGCGGCGGCGGTCCCGGCCCGTGGAGGCTGGGACCCCGGAGGTGACGAGCCGCTGCAGGAGGGCAGCCGGACGGCGGGGTCGAGTCTGGCGCGGAGCAAAGGCTGGAAGCCGAGGGAAGGACAGGCGCGGGAGGGCGGGGTCGCGGCGCCGCCAACGCGGCCTCGGGCGGGGGGGCGCTGCCGGCCGTGTAGCCGCCGGCGTTCCGGGAGCCGCATCTCTGAGGATTCGTGATATCTTCACATTCCCAGTGGACGAGGCCTAAGGTAAGTAGAGTGCGGGAGGAGGGAAGCTGTGACCCCTGGCCGGCTCTTTCCCCGCCGCACGCCGCCCGCTCTCCCCCTGCGTAGCCTCGCAGATGGTCTCGCCCACTCTGGCCGCAGTCCACGTGGGCGAGGGAGCGCGGCGGCGCGGGCCGGCCGGGCTGGCTGACGGGCGGCCGTGAGACGCTGCGGGACTGTCCGCCGGGCCGGGCCAGCCTAGCGGCCACCCGTAAACAAACCAAGAGCGTGCGCCTCGCCACAGGTAAAGCGGGAGCCGCCGGAGCACTCGGGGCGCGCTCCCGGTGGGGTTCGGGTCCGGACCCACCCGCGTCCAGGCCGGCCCGGAGCCTCATGGCCCCTGGGTCTCCGCGGCCCAGTCGGGGGCGATTAGTTTAGTTTTGTTTTTTTCTCTGGCCGACGAGACGAAAACGCAACTATGCTTGTTTATTAGCGCCTTTTGCGGAGGACGCGGAAGGAAGCCTAGCGTGGCAGCTGGCTTCCTGCGGAAGTTCGTTATGGGGACTTGTTAAAATGGCCTAGGAGGGGCGTGTAGCATTCACGAGGGGCCCCTGATTACGAAGCCATCTTCCCAACACCCAACACTTTCATCCCCTGACATCACTTATTAGCCTTAGAGAGTTAGAAATCTTGAATCCTGGGAAAACAGTACTTCAGTGGCAATTCCTGTTCCTAGCGAAGAATTAGAGCAAGTCCTGGTGTATGATATTTTAATGCAGAATCCTTTAGGGCTTTTTCCTTTAATCTTCCTGATGGAGTCGTGTTAGATTTACTGTTAGCACCACGCAGGGCCTTTGTGCACGTCTGCAAATGCCTTATCCGCATTTGAATACTGAGTAGACGAATTAATCATAGTTGCAACTGATTCATTTCCATCCCACAGACATTGGAGCAATGCAAGTCTCGGGGCTAATGGGGAATAGTCACTGGGAGGGTGGGTCCACAGATAGGACCCAGCCCTGGTCCAGTGAACGAACAATTTATCAATTGTTAAGAGGTATACACAGCAATGAAATGATGATGTAGAGAGGATACTGCACTTGTAAATACAAACAGGATAAACATCAGGTGAATGCATAAAGGTCTTTAAATGAATATGGATGGAATTCAAAAGTTAATTTGCGCTATATGGGAGGAGTATTAATTTGAGCCTGGAAAGGCTTCACAGTGAATGTGGGATTTCAGAAGTTTGCTTTGAAATAGGATGAAATATTTAGATAAACTTAGAAGTCAAAATATTTTAAAGCTGATTGGGACCTTAAGAATCACATTACCTTTTCAAAAAATTGTTATTTTTTTAACAATTTTTATTATTTATTTATTTATTTTAAAGATTTTATTTATTTGACAGAGACGCAGCGAGAGAGGGAACACAAGCATGGGGGAGTGGGAGAGGGAGAAGCAGGCTTCCCACCTAGCAGGGAGGCCAATGCGGGCTTGATCCCAGGATCCTGGGATCATGACCTGAGCCGAAGGCAGACGCTTAATGACTGAGCCACCCAGGTGCCCCCAAAAATTGTTATTTCAAGAAGTTATTGAACCCCCATCATGGGCCTGTCAGTGTGCCCACCACAACAAGAAATAGTCTTGTCAACTAGCACACCTGAGGTCTTCTGGCTTCCAATTTGCTCCCTTTGTGCAGAGAATGAATGTTGTAGGTTTGAGGGAAACCCTGACAGATTTGGCGAGTCATTTCCTGCCAGAATTTAACAAAAAGCACCTATCCCATAGGCTGTTGTGCCTACCTATTTCCTTTCTAAAATCATTTCAGAATGATAGTGAGACTTTCACTTTCGTAAAGCTCTTTCAGGAGACTTCCCTAAACTACAGATATCCAGGAGGAGGTTAGACCTTCTGTATCTGGTCTAATTGTGAGCATAAAACAAGCTGAATTCCAATATGTAGAAAAACAAATAAAAAAGTTGTATACTACAGTTAATTCAGCAGAATTCATTTATATATGGATGTGTAATCAATAATAATACTAATGGCTAACTTTGTTGAGGATTTTCCGTATACTGGACTCCATGCTGTGTGTTATATGGATTATCTTATTTAACATAAAATTATATGCATCAAATCTACTCTTCTAATTAAGCTGTCTAAATATAAAATTTCTTCATAATCCTGGAGCTTAAAGTATTAACAGCCTTTCCTTATAAAAATCTTAAAACAACTGCATTTTTTGGTCAAAATATTCATGTATTCTTTACTGGTTGCTTATGTATTTCTGTCACTTCATTTTGCTTGCTAGTTTTGACCTTTTGTTTTGAAGCCTTTTCTTTTTCTTTTTTCCTACAGCCAAAAAACAGAATTTGACAAAATTGGTTTTGTTCAATTCCCTTTTGAGGAATAGCTTTATCTGAAATAATCAAGTGTTCAGCCCTGAGGATTAACCAAGAAACAATCTTCTAGATAACAGTGATGATATTTAGGACAGTGATAATTCATTTAGGGCAAAGTAGATTTCTTCTTGTTTTTTAGTTTGTGAGTAATGCATAAACATAAAATGCATTTGCATAATTCAGTGTCTTGGATCAACAATCTGCTTCTTCAAACCAATGTCCTTCAAACCAAATATCAAGAACACTTAATTGCATCACCTTATTTCCTTTAAATATTAAATTAACAGATTATTGGGTTCAGCTGTAATTTAAACACAGATTTTTGTTTTATTTTTGTTTTTTTAATTTTTTTTAATTTTATTTATTTTTGAGAGAGAGAGAATGACAGAGAGAGAATGAGAGGGGTGAGGGTCAGAGGGAGAAGCAGACTCCCTGCTGAGCAGGGAGCCTGATGTGGGACTTGATCCCGGGACTCCAGGATCATGACCTGAGCCGAAGGCAGTCGCTTAACCAACTGAGCCACCCAGGCGCCCCCAGATTTTTGTTTTAAATGGTTTTCTTATACCAATGGTTTTGCTTTTTTTTATATTGTAAAGCAGTCATTATTTTTCCAGTTCAGAAGTTCCTGTCTTTTGGTTTATAACTGGGGCTGTCTTGTTTTTGGCTTTTCCTGTGCTTAAGTAACATGTGACTGCTCTAATTATCTAAGTCTATTGAACATCTTTTAATTAGAAAAAAGATTTTCCAGTTTATCATTTTGTTGTTTGAGTACTGTTCTAAACACTTAAGTCAAGTGAGTTTCTCTTTTTTGATGGTTATATATTTCCTTTGTAGGCTACTTTAAGAAAAATGGCTTTGTCAGCCCAACAGATATCCAGATGGTTCAATTCAGTTAAATTGAGTAGCTTCATTACAGCTACACAATGCGGAAAACATTTCCAGAGACCAGGAAGAACATTGTTGCTTGGCTTTTCTGCTCAGCCACAGATGTCCTCTGATAATTGCTTTCTCCAGTGGGGATTCAAGACTTACAGGACTTCCTCCTTATGGAATAGTTCCCAGTCTACCAACTCAAGTAGGCAAGAGATTGGTTCTGGCCAAAGTACTCTGCTTCCTTGCATGAATGAACAGACACAGAAGACACAGAAAATATCCAACTTTGATTCTGAGCTGTCTCTAGAAGGTAATTTTGAACTTCCTGAAGAGTCCCCTCTGCCCCACTTTGGTAGTTTGAACAGGTTAACTGTTTATAGTCTGTTAGCCTATTTCAGGTCATACTTTGTACCAAGTAAGAAAAAGAACAATGCCAATTCTATTCATTTACTTATTTGAGAAAAAAGGTTTGTAGATTAATATATAGATAATATTATGTTCTAGATTTATGTGTAACAGTGGCTTTCTAAATACTTTATTATTTAAATTTATAAAAAATTTTCAGGTGGTAATTAGTTTTACTAGGGTATAATTTATCCTAATATATTCCTAATTAGGATATAATTTTATCCAAGTAAAATTCATCAGTTTTGAGTGTATAGTTTTATGAATTTTGACAAACACATTTAGTAGTGTAACAGCCTCCACAATTAACAAACCAAAAAGAACACAAATAGAACACCCCAGAAAACTCCCTTGTCACTTTTTAGTCAGTCCTCTCTCTCCTATGCTTCCTCTTCTAGGAATATTCCCATGCAAGGAATATTTCACCACAATGAGGGAATATTAGGTTAAGTAGACTATGAAAGAAAGACAGCAGGGTCAAGGAGGGCAGAGAGGAAAGACTGGCTATAAGAAATAAGAAAGGGTAGTTATGAGAAGCAAAAAATAGAACGAAAAAATCATAGTCTTGATTCTTTAGCTTAAGGTAGGTTATAGTTCCCAGTGTCTCCCATTACGCATTTGGTTTAAACAAAACAAAATCTCAGAATCAGGGCTGTGCTAGAGAGGGTCATGTCCATAGTGAAGGACTACAGGTGGTAGAAACAATCATAGAAGTCCTTTTAAAGACGTACTTGAGAATAACTTGGAGGAAAGGAGATTGCATCAAAAGACATTTCAGGATCGAATTGACTCTAACTCACACAAATCAGGATGGTAGAATATGTTGTACTTTGGGCCAGTTTAACAAGCTATGGTAGAATCTATCTCAAAATGTACTAGAAGGTCAGTTGATTTTTAGCATTCTTACCTACTGATTAAAAGTGAACTAAAAGAAAGGAATGTTGTGTAGGACCTCCTCCTTATGAATAGAAACTTACCAACAGAGTGCTTATCTTGGAGGAACAGTGGTTGATTTCTCTAAATAGTCTTAGCCTTACCTCTTAGGAGGCAGAAAATATTTGAACTTCTCAGATATTTAGTTCTGAGATGATCCCAAGATTTAAAAAGAAGCAAACTAGGGAAAAGGTTTCACTTTAAGTGTACAAGACTGGAGAGCTGACCGCCCCTGTCTTTCTATATGGCTGGCTTCAAAGCACTGGACGACCTGCCTCCGGTGTCTCCATTGCAGCCAGTTTCCGAGGAGGAGGCCGTTCAGATTATCGCAGACCCTCCACTGCCCCCAGATACGTTCACGCTTCGAGACTACGTGGATCATTCTGAGACTCTGCAGAAGTTAGTGCTTCTAGGTAAGTCTCAACAACCTACAGGTACTTTTTCAGTGTATTCCTCATTTGCTTTTTTGCCTTACTTTGTTCAAATCAGCATTTTTAATCTTTATCAAGATGAACAGAAGTCAAATAGTGTGAAAAAAAGCTTCTAGTGAAAAACCGTATTCTCTGCTTCATCCTTCCTGACCTTCATGCTATTCCCCAGAGGTGTCTCCTTAACTTTTACAGCTCTTTCTGTTTGTAGTTAATCTCTGTTTATGTCATTGTTTATAGTGCTGTGGCTTGGTTCATCAGTTTTAGACATTGGTTGATCTCTTGTATGTACACACATACTTTTCCCCTATTCGGTTTGCCCAGTATAGTTATGGTAACAATTTTTAGATGAATCATCAGTCAGCAATTATATTATGACTATAAATATTGCTTGCTGCTCTCTGGGATCGTTTTCATTTTTCCATAGTTGTTAATAATTCTTGTTTTTCCTTTGATTAGTTTTCTTTATTTCTAGGGCCAAATTTTCCCACACCTTCCAGTAGCCTGTCAGGACAGTGTTTCCTGCAGTAAACCCTACCAGATGAGGAATTCCTTCCTTTTCCCCACCACCTCCTGCCCTTCCTCCTGGAGCCCACTGTCCCCCTAATGTGGATGGTTTCTGTCTAGGCCTGCTCCATAACTATTTTAGCTTGTTGGCTGGGAGGATGCACTGGGGTCTGGATAGTTGAAGACAGCCAAGGGATCTCACTGCAGACTTTTTACTTAGTCCTCTCCTGTTCAGTCCAACACCTTATTGCAGCCATCTGCTTCTCTCATTATCCCTAGCTCTGGCACATCTCTGATTTCATTTTCCCAGATGATAAACCTCCTTTCTCCCCGGGGGATTGAGAGGAACAGGGTAGGTAAGGGATTCTCTCTCAAATTCATCTGCTCTCATTCTCCAGTCACTGCCATACTTTAGGCTCTCATTTTTCACTGGAAAGTTAGGAGCTTCCTAACTTGATAGCCGTCTTATCAGATAGCAACATTGCTCTGATGATCTCTCAAATATCAGTTCTCTTTCTAAAATGCCGATCTGACTATGTCAGTGACCTATTGGAAATCCTTCAAAGCCTCCCCAGGATGTCAGCGCTCTGCCTAATCTGGCCCTTACTTACCTTTTCAGCTTTACTCCTTTCCCCTTCTCTCCTTCTGTTCGGCCAGCTCTGACCACTGGAAGACTTAGTTCAAGTTCTTCGGTGACCTTCCTCTGGACCCTTGCATCACCCCGGCTTAGTTCCATTCTAGCACTAATAACAGCATTACAGTTGTTTACTTCCCTGTTCCTGTGCAAGTTACGCAAATGTGCAGGTAATGGCCTTTGTTCTCAAGAAGCTTCAAGTCTTCAGAAGTATCTAAATATACATATATAAAAATAATTGGACTACAAGGATGAAAGGTAAAGTGAGAAGTGCTACATAAGACATACAAATAAAGTGTTCTGTGGCTTCAAAGGGGAGAGAAAGATGACATCTGCTACAAAGAGGAGAGCCAGTCACCTTCCTTCTGGAACAGCTTCCCCAGCCTTATGGTAGGTGCCAGGGCTAATACAAGATAAACAAGACGTGGCCCCTGCCTTTAAATAATTTACAGCATACTAAGAATTTTGGAATATATGTTCCAGCCATTCCTTCTCTGTATGTTGATATGTCAACAGCATATCTTGGAAGTAACTTAAGTGACAGTACCGTGGAGGAGCTGTGATTGCCTTGTCAGATAGTATTTTTGAGGACCCATGTGTCCCGGTGCCTGTCTGCTTCTCCGATCTGTTTTCTGCCCTACTCTGCCTGTTTTCTATCCCAGGAGGCCAGTCTCCATGCACTAGAGCTTCTTTGCCAGCAGGCTCCTGGGCAGCTTCAGCCAGTGGGAGGCACTTGCAGGAGGAGAGGGAAGGCGGGTGGGAGTATATTTTTTTTCCCGTTCCTTCCCTGCTTTGGGTCCTGTAACTGCCTCGCTCTGTGACAACAGCTCCTCCTGAGCAGCCCTTTCTTAATAGCTTGCAGTTCCCTCTGGGTTCGGGGAATACTTTTTGCTCCCTGTCTGTTTAGCACTAGGGGTGCCCTTGTTCGCTCCCTCATCCATCACACCACTGTGTAAAGTCCCTTCATTAAAGTTCTTTTTGCTCGCACTTTCTAGGGCAATATCTGCTGCCTGCCAGACCTTGATGGATACACTAGATATGTGTAACCATAACTGAATACAGTGGTAATAATTGTAGTTACTGAATGGATAAAAGCAACTCAGACTGCGGTCACCCAGAAGTTAGAGGCGTGTATTACTCATTTGTTATATCCCCAGAGCCTAACAGAAGTGCCTGGTCCATAGTGGGAATTCAGTGACTATTTTTTCAAGTTAATCTTGAGTAAGTCCAAGTGATTTGTGCTGACAGCAGTGTGCTCTCCTGATGAGATTCTGCTCTCCTATTGCTGTTAAAAGGCAGCTTTTCAGGATTTCTGTTTGAGCGCAGTCAGGGTGTGACGGCTCATGCTGAGCAAGGCGCTTCAGCACAGATCAGCTGTACGAGTAAGTTCAATTCCAAGTCTGAACCCTGTATGTTATTTTCAAAGCACCCCTTCCCACATTTATCACAGAGATTTGGAACTAGCTTCTGTCTTACTTATGTATCCATCCAATAATTTATTTTTATTAATACTATTTTTAAATTAGAATTTCATCTAGTTGTTAATAATGCAAGTACTGTAAGAGAAAGAGCTCTCACCTTCTCTACATACCCATTTTCACTTTCCAGAGGTAACCCTATCACCAATTTGTTGAATAGCTTTCCCCACCTTTTTCTATGCAAATACATTTATTACAGAAAGCCATACATGAGTTTTACATTTTTATGTAGTCATACTTAATATTTTTTAAACTGTTTTCTTGTAGTAGTTTTAGAGTTAGTACACATTTAGATGCTTAATCTTTTGTGTAAGATATAGAAGGAATTTTTTTTAAGTAAAATTGACATACAGTTTCAGATACACAACATAGTGATTCAGTAGTTCTGTACATTACATGATGTTCACCGTAAGTGTAGTAATAGAAACAATTATTTTTCACACATATAGGTAGTGGTCCCATTATATTGTAATGAATAGTGTATCTTTTCACCATTAATTTGAAATGCCATTATTATTATATGCTAATTTTTTATTTTATTCATTCAGTTGATCTTGGCTCTGTTTCTGGTCTTCATTCTGTGGGTGTGTTTGTGTAATCTGTTTTTCTAGTCATGATCATCTTACATCAATGCCTGTTTAATATCAAGAAATTTGGGTTTAGAATTATGTTTGGATATAATAGTATATGAAATTATAATTTATTTTTCTGGTTATGTACACCATTAAAGAATGTTTTTATTTCATTGCTTTTATATTTAAGACTTGAAAGTTGCATCTGGAAATCAGTTTGAGAGTTATTTTTCATCTGAAGAAATATTTTTAAGAATATAAAACTTTAACCTTAAGGTTTTAGATTATCTTCAAATGTTTACTCTCAACATAAAGAAGAGGCCTTTCCTGTTCATGCTTATTTTTTTAATCAGATAAAGGGAAAAAAATGAGAGAATAAAATGCTCAGTTGTTTTTTTGGTTTTTTTTTTTAAGATTTTATTTATTTGACAGAGAGAGCACAAGTAGGCGGAGCGGCAGGCAGAGGGAGAGGGAGAAGCAGGCTTTCGCTGAGCAGGGAGCCCGACGTGGGGCTCGATCCCAGGACTGGGATCATGACCTGAGCCGAAGGCAGCTGCCCAATCGACTGAGCCACCCAGGTGCCCCAAAACGCTCAGTTTTAATGAGAATTTTGAATTACAGGTTACTTTGATTCCTTGCCTAATTAACATTGCCATCTAATTATATCCATAACCAGAGAATACTTGAAAGTAACAGCTTGCTTTCTCCCTCTTCTTTCTTTCTCCTATGCCTTGTCTCACTTACTTAGACTACCTAAGATTATAAGGATACGTGAAGGTCAAAGGTTGTATACTTTCTGCTTTGTTGTATATTTGAGGGCTGTATATGCTCACCTGTTCTCACACAGACATTTCTTGTGCTCCTTCAAGGTACTTGTCTCCATGCTGAAGACCTGGAGATTACAATGAGTAAGACATAGGGTTATTTTTATTCCCCCACCCGGAGGAGATCATAAACATATTTCGAAAATAATGCTTATAACTAAGGAAATGACAAATGTCAAAGAAAGTAACAATTCATTTAAAGGGTTTGTTACACTGTAGAATTGCCAGTTAAGCAATTACTGTGGAGATCAGTAGGAGCTCATAAGCATTATTCAAATAATATTCAAGAACCATAGATAAAGAGGATGATCCTAGCTAGGTCAGTATGACTTGGTGAATTTGTTTCAGGTAGAAATTTAACCCCAAATGAATTGTTTTCCTCTATATGTGACTTTGACATAAGTACTATGTTTTCATTTTAATTTAATTTTATTTCTGCAACTAGTTTAGTTTAAATATATTTAGAAGTTTCTATTGGCCTGTCTCAGTTCTCTTTTGGACAGGTTGTTGATCTTCATCAGTAATTCCTTGTGTTTTTATGTATAAAGTTTAATGACCTAGCTAAACAGTTATCTTCAAACAGTATTTGTAATTTATTATAGGAGTGGATCTCTCAAAGATAGAAAAACATCCAGATGCAGCCAACCTCCTTCTGCGACTGGATTTTGAAAAAGACATTAAGCAAATACTCATGTTTCTTAAAGATTTGGGTATAGAGGATAACCAGCTGGGAACATACCTGACTAAAAACTATGCTATTTTCTCCGAAGACCTTGAAAATCTTAAGACCAGGTAGGGCTTTTACAATGATTTTTCACATAACCCAAGAAGTGGTTATGAAGGAAATATATGTGTAAGTTATTTTTAAGTCTTAGCTGCATAAGGATCGGCTGATAATGAACATGAATATTATTATTATTATTATTTTTTGGGTTACGGACTTCCTTTGATCAAGATTAAGTATCTAAAACAGGTCTTTTATTTGACTTCTCCTTTTTATGTGTTCAACTTACTGCTGAGTCAACACTCAACGGGTTCTCTTCAGAAACTGGAATAAAAAAATTTTTTTAATCCATCAACACATGGCTAAATTACCTGAGAGTGCACTTAGAGTTACGAAAGCCTGAACTTTTGTGGGTTGTTTTAATTTTCTGGGCAGTTTTTGATGGTAGACATCTGACATCCTCTTGGCACATTATTATATCATTTGCTTAATCATTTACGTAAGTGGCCTATTTTGGCTGTTCCTTTTTTTCTTCTTTAAAAAGCACTTCCATAAACATCTTTGTACTTCATTCAACATTCAAAGAATTTATTAAATCTGTGAGAATCAATACAGTGAGATGAGATAGTATTGATCTGTGAGATAAGAACCCTGCTAGGCACTGGGAACACCACAGAGAACAAGACAGAGCCCCTGTCCCTAAGTTCACCTTTTGAATTTATCATCCTCCCTACTTCGTACCTAAGTCAGTTCTTCCCTGTATTCCCAGATTCACTGAATAGGAGCACTGTTCACCTTGTTGCCCAAATCAGAAACATTAGTGTTAACTTTGGCTTCTCTTCTTACAGTATCCACATCTAATAAATCAACTATCAATTCTTTTTTATCTCTCAAATCAGTCAGTGCATTTCTCTGAATCTTCACTGTGAAGATCACCTTGGGTCCCCATTTCACATGAAGACTGCTCTAACAGTCTCCTGACTGGTCTGCCTCTGGTCTTCATCCCCAGGTTATTCTTACTCTGATGGTGAGCCTCACTGCATTTCAGAGAACTTTACAGTTCCTTGAACAACATCAGAGTACAATGCCTTGTCTGAATTAGGAAAAAGAACTAAACAAAAAACTGGATTCCGTACATTGAATGATTTGAGCTCCTGTATATGCAAGGCACTGAGCTAGACTTGAACCCCAAAAGACAGAACGTGCACATGCTCTCTCTTCATGGGACTTACCTTCTGGTATAATACAGACAGACTATTACAGGGGAGAGAACGGATGATTCTAGGAAACTCAGTCTGATATATCCAGCTCTGCTTCTCCTGCCTGTCTGGAACACTGATCCCTCCCCATTCAAAAACCAGTTTGCCCTATTGTTCAAGATTTATTCAAAGGAAGTGTGCATACCAGGAGGTGGGGATTATTGGGAGCCATGTCAGAAACTGCCTACTATGCTAATACTATTTTTTTAAATTGAAGTGTAGTTGACATACAATGTTGCATCAGTGATTCAACAAGTCTGTACAAGGCTCTCTGTTATGCTGTGCTTACCACATGTGTAGCTACCATCTGTCACCATACGGCGCTATTTCAATACCACTGACTATTGCACCACTATTATTAATATCCCCATTTTCCACGGGAAGCACAGAAAGGTTTAATAATTTGCCCAAGATTACGTGGATAGTGTAAGTGACAGAGCTGGGATTCAGGCCCACTTAGTCTAACTGCAGAGTCCTCGCTACTGCCCCATGCTGTCTCCCTACTCTCGGGCGCCTGGGTGGCTCAGTTGGTTAAGCGACTGCCTTCGGCTCAGGTCATGATCCTGGAGTCCCGGGATCGAGTCCCGCGTCGGGCTCCCTGCTCAGCGGGGGGTCTGCTTCTCCCTCTGACCCTCTTCCCTCTTGTGCTGTCTCTCATTCTCTCTCTCAAATAAATAAATAAAATCTTTAAAAAAAAAAAAAAAAAGAAGCTGAAGTTACTTGCTCAAGATCACACATGCTCCTAACAACGAGAGGATATTCTCTCATGGACAGCATAGTCTAGTGGTTCCTAAACTCTGGAGCATTATTTTAATTACTTGGAATTTTTTAATAGGTTTATCCACATACAGCAAAAAATAAGCTGCTACTGTAAGAGGCAAGAGTATGATAATCTTTAATTGAACTTAGCTTTTGTCTCTGGTATGTACAGTAGTCTTATTTCTAGGATTTCTGTAATAGCATTGATTTCATATACTTGTTTTCCTTTGAATGAAGAAAATTTCAAATGTATAAAAAAGTTATTTTCAAATGAATAATTTGCATTTAATTATTTAAATTTTTTTTTGGCTGGGCATATCTTAGTTTTTTATTAGAAAAATTATCACAAGGTAGACAACAGTTTTGATAATGTTTTAGTCAGATATTGATTTTTGCTGTGACCAAAAAAAGGGGGGGGGGACAAAAAGTAATCCTCCTTCCCACCTACTTACATTTGTCCCTCATTAACTTTCTGAGACCCATCTGTGGAGGCAGCTACTATGATCAGGTTTTTTGTTTGACCTGCTAAGAATGTTCTGTCATATGTAAGCATATGTGTATATCTGTGTACAAATACACATGAACCCACATACATACAACTGGTAGCATTTATACATACTATTCTGCACCCCACTTTCTTACCTTAACTGTATGTTAGAGATAGTTTTGTACTGGGACTTCCTCTTTTTTTAATGCTAGTTTAGTTCATACTGTGGATCATCCAGTCCCTCACGATAAACATGGTGCTTGATTCCAGTCACTGCTACCACAGCAAGGCTGCAGTGACTCTCCATATGTGTGTGTGTGTGTGTGCATGTATATATATATATATATATATATACACATATCATTTTGCACATACTGCTATATATCTGTAGGACAGATTTCTAGAAGTGGAATTGCTAGGTGAAAGGGTATGTGCATTTATAATCTTAAAGATATCGACAAGTTGTCCTTTGTAAGGTTGTTTTCCAGTTTACGCATCCACCAGCGTCATACAGAAGTGCCAGTTTCTCTGTTACCCTCACTATTACAGAGTCATCAAACTTTATGGTTTCAGTTCATTTTATAGATAAAAACAGTGCCTCAGTGTTGTTTCAGAAATGATGTTTGGAGGCTCTTTTCCTCTGTTGAATTTCTATTTACATCACCTTTTCTATAAATCACATATGTCCTTTGTCATTTTAAAATTAAGTCTTTTTCTTTCTTTTGTAAGCATTCTTCTGTATTTTAACAAAATTAGTTATTTCCCCGTGACATGTTGTAAATACTTGTCACTTGTTTTGACTTTGTCAATGCTTGGGCAGGGGGGGTGCCTTGCATTTAAGTTTTTATATAGTTAAATTTGTCGGTCTTTTCTCTCATGTCCTCTAAGGGAGTCCCTTAAAGGAGTAGTCATCACTTATAAAATATAAGCTCTGGTGGTACATGGTATAGAAATCTCATAGGCATGTCTGAGTTCAAATCTCAGCTTGGTCATTAATTAGCTGGTGGTCTAAGAGGAGTTATTTAACTTCTCTGAATCTATGTTTCTTCAGATACAATGTGGAAAATTTACCTGGTTCACGGGTTTTTGTTTCTTGTGTTTTATTTGGTGAGAATTAAACAAGATAATGTCCTAGTATATTTTAGGCATTTAATAAAACTGCCTTTTACTATGTTTATAAGTTTTTAAAAATCAATAATGTTATTTCATAGTCAAACTTTCTGTATTTTACTACCATATTTTGGGTCCCAGAAACTTAGCAGGAAATTTCTCAATTGTTAACAAAATGCATAATGGAAATCGTAGTAAAAATTATTTACGAATATACATAGTCAGTAAATTTGCTAAACTAAAAAATTCCTCTCTCGACTTCTGCTATGCTTGAGGGTCTTTATAAAAAGAGTTTGGAATCTCTTATTTTCTTAATTTATGGATTTATGTTCTTGGCAAAGAATTCTTAAATGAAGCTATTTGATTTTTTTCTACCAAGTAATAAAATAACTGAAAAGAGAATCTGTTAGTAGATTTCAGAATTATTTGGTTTCTGAGTAGAAATGGGAACCGTTCTATCGTTGGATGGGTGCTTATTTTGCTTTAACCATATTTGGGCCATTATTGAATGTTTTTACTTATCCTTTTTTTTTGTTTGTTACTTTGGAAAGTACATGACATTAGTAAATGTTAATCATATGTACATGTATTTTTTGTTTGTTTCTCTAGAGTGGCTTATCTGCAGTCAAAAAATTTCAGTAAGGCACATATAGCACAGATGGTCAGAAATGCACCATTTTTGCTGAGTTTTTCAGTGGAAAGATTGGATAACAGATTGGGATTTTTTCAGAAAGAACTTGAACTTAGCGTGAAGAAGGTAAAGAAAAGAGAATTTATATATTTCCATGTGAGCTACATTTAGAAGCTTAAATCTCACGTTTCTCACAGATGCCTGGTCCATATGAATTCTATAAATGCCTGGTATTTTTGTATAAGAATGAATTACCCTACTAGGTTAAATGTATAACTATATCATTTTATAGTATTCCATCAAGTTGGTGCCTTAAGTTTTGTTTTCAGTATTTTTTTTCCCTCAAACAGTATTAAGTTTATGTATTTTCAGGGTTCCTAGCTCATATTTTGAATTTTAGTTTTGTGTTCCTAGTAATGCCTTGTTTTCCCAAACTAGTTGAATGTGCATGTATAGTAATAATAGATTGTTTTATAACTATAGACTAGAGATCTGGTAGTTCGTCTCCCAAGGCTACTAACTGGAAGTCTGGAGCCCGTGAAAGAAAACATGAAGGTAGGTCGACTTTAAGATTTTCAGAAATCAGCTTCTTTCTTTAAGTGCTTAAGAAGAGGATAGATTTTGCTACTGTCTTCTTAACACTAGATTGTGAAAGAAGTAATTTCTAAAAAGATGGACATAGGAAATGATACAATAAATATCTAGCAAGCAGTTTATTTTAGTTAATAATATGTTCACACGTTGAGCAGGTGTTACATGCGTAAATCACCTTGTAGACACCGATACCAGTAATCCTAGAGTAATGCATTAGGTATCTGGGCGATGCCTGGAAACCGCGTTTGTTGCCAGTGTGAGACTCCAGGTTTATGTCACCTTGGTGGGAGATGAGATTTGGAGGCTGGATCCGGAAGACATCTGTGAAGAGCCTAGTAGCCAGCACATTGCTCTCCTTAGAACTGTGCCCACTGCCCGCTCTAGTTCTATCACAGGACATACCAGACACTCGTTACTGTCCTACCTCCAAGCGAGTAGTATAAAGCCAAAGGCAGCTGACTAGTTAGTATACAAAACTGTAGTCGTACCTGAAATTATGATAGAAGGCCTGTTTTTCTGAGGTGCTTAAAGTGTTTCATGTCCAGCTGTTCAAGAAATTTTTGTTGAGCACCTGCCCATGCACTGTGCTTGAAGATAGTCCCTGCTCTCATGGGGCTCATAATCTAGTAGGGGCATAGCCTGCAGAGTAATAAGAACAACGGATTGGTAGGGGAGCAGAGGACCTAACACACATTTGGGTATTTAGTTTTACCATCTCTGTCTGGAATTTTGACATGTGGTTTTTCCAGATAACATGTATGTGAGTGTGCTTGGGAGCAGAGGCTCAAAAAACACATTGAAAATCTTAACTGCTGGTCTGTGGTGTAGGGCCCATACAGATAGCCTGACCAGGCCTTCCACATCCACCATTATTCTGTTTCATCGTTATGATAGCTCCTTTTGGTGATCTTCACGATGATCACCATGCTGTGAGAGTTCGTCTCAGGAGAGGGGCTTGAAATTCAGGATACCCCAGAAGCAGGAAGCTATGGACCCTTGAGGGCATTGGTATAGCTGTCTCCAGTTTTTAATGTCCTCATTTCAGATTTTAAAATAATCAGTGTGTCCTCTGGCATATTAGGAAAATAACTGTTTACATTTGTGATTCAAGCAACTCTACTTTCTCTTAGGTTTATCGTCTTGAACTAGGTTTTAAACATAATGAAATTCAACATATGATCACCAAAGTCCCAAAGATGTTGACTGCAAGTAAAAGGAAACTTACTGAGACTTTTGACTATGTGCACAATGTGATGAGCATTCCCCACCACCTCATCGTCAGGTTCCCACAGGTAACAAGTGTACAACTCTCTCTGGAAGCTCTCATTGCCCTTTGTCCAGAACTGCTCTGTGTGCATAGTGCTGTTCCACTGCAAAAATGACTTGCTGTTTGGGAAGGAATTGGGCCAATATACTCTGGTTCTGAGACTGACAGTTGTAGTAAGGTCATAATTTCTTTTGCCCGTCTTTTAAATCAAGAACACATCTAGCAAACGAAGTCAAGGGATCACTTGTGAAAAGTTTACAACTTCTAGGGCACACATGTACATGTCCATAGGAGACACAAGGGACGAGTCTGTTCCCTTTAGTTGTTACCTATTGCTCATCCTGCCTGTTGGAATCTAACGTATTCCCAGTTGTGTTTTTCTCCCATCTAAATTAGAAAAGATCACTTCCCTTAAAGGTCCTTTCAATTCTACATGTACTTTTCATTCACAGTCTATCTAAATCCATTAGTTAGGGGCACCTGGGTGGCTCAGTCAGTTAAAGTGTCTTGACTCTAGGTTTCAGCTCAGGTCATCCTCTCACGGGTCCTGAGATTGAGCCACACGGCGGGCTCTGCAGTCAGCAGGGAATCTGCTTGGGATTCTCTCCTGCCCCTCCCCCCAGTCGTGTGGTCTCTCTGAATAATTGGAATAAATAAATGAATGAATAAATGAATGAATGAATAAATAAATCCATTAGTTAATGAGCCGTATTGTAATGATCTCCTACAAAAACATAAAACAGTTCTAGTTTGCCATTGTGCCAAAGCCATATTTATGTTTTCCAAGCTAATCAGACTTTCCTCTTTAGCAAGTGACATTATCTGCTTGTTCACAAGAATGTTAACTCTTTGAAAGCAGAGATCCTTTCGGATTTATACACTGCTGGATTCCCGGTGCCTGGAACTATATGGGACATTTAGTAGGCACTAGATAAGTATTTGCTGAACAAATGAATGATTGAATTTCATCAAAGTCATCCTTTCTTTCCTGTTTGCCATGTGAATAGACACTCCTTAGTCACTGGATAAATGAAAGATTGAATTTCATTACAGTGATCCCCCTACTCTGTTGCTACATGTGTTCTTGATATAAAGATAGGCAAAAGAAATACGGCTTTAATATAACTCAGAACTAGATTGCATTTGGTACAATTCCTTCACAAATAGCAATGTTTATTTACCTATCACACTTCACTATGAATGGGCCCTTAATAGAGAGGTTTTTTTTAAGATTTTATTTATTTATTTGACAGAGAGAGACACAGCGAGAGAGGGAACACAAGCAGGGCGAGTGGGAGAGGGAGAAGCAGGCTTCCCGCCGAGCAGGTAGCCCGATGCGGGGCTCGATCCCAGGACCCTGGGATCATGACCTGAGCCGAAGGCAGACGCTTAACAACTGAGCCACCCAGGCGCCCCCATAGAGAGTTTTTCTGTTTCATCAAATGTGTATGTATTGATTATTAAAAGTGCAGGGGTACAAATTTGGCTTATTGGAACAACTGTAAAGTAAGTGGTCTTCAACTAAAAAGCAGTAACAATTAGTTTTCCCCTGGGCTGTTAGATAATTCAGTGACAGAGTATGATAAAATAATCTGATTTGGGGATATAAAAATCAATCAGACATGGTGGGTATTCTTGTGGAATTTGTAATCTAGTGTGGAAGACAAGTCTCTAAAATGTAATTGATTTACATAATGTTAGAGTCTTAACCAGATAGACTTAGTTAAGTCTAAGTCTACCTTAACCTAGACTTAGATAAGTCTTAACCTTATAGAACTTATTAATTTAATTTAGAAGAGGTAGGAAAATCATAGAAATAATGATAGCTACTAAGTGCTCACTGTGTGTCAGCTCTGTCTTTACTGCTTTACTTGTATTAATTCATTTAATCCTCACAACCATCATATGAGATAGGTACTATTATTATCCCGATTTTACAAGTGAAGAAAGTAAGCATAAAAGGATTGTCCAAAGGTGGTTACCCAGGTAACAAGGAACAGAGACAAGATTAGAACTCTGGCAGTCGGGCTGAAAAATCCATGCTCTTAACTAGGATATTCTACCACTCTAAGAACTGACATTTGAGTGGTCAGTAGAATGAGTGGGGTCTCAAAGATGGACAGAAACTTTCTAAGTAGGGGAAACTATAAACTTGACCAAATGCATCAAAATCACTTGTTTAAATAACACAGACTTTTAGGCACCCCAAACCCTAGCTTCTGGGAAGCCCAGTTATAGAACTGTGACTTCCTTTTTGGGATTCTTAGACTCATAGGGGTCTGGCTAATATTGTTTTTTTTTTTTAAAAAAAAAAGGAAAACTGACAGGACTGTGGGGGAACTGATAGACTTTAAATTTTTGGCTGGTGTTTTAAAAACTTAAGTGGTATGAAAGGAATTTTCTCTTGCAAATAACAGTTCTGGTTGACCTATTTCTGATTCCTTTTTAAAGTTGCTGCCACTCATGCTACTCCTTAGGAGTTTTAACCCCAAGACAAAGACGTGCTTTCCCTAGTTGCTCCCCTAGAGGCCAGGTTCATTTCATTCTAATACTAGTCGGAGGGAGCAGGCAGGAATTTTACAAAAATAAGGAAGCTTCACAAGATTGTGAAATCTTACAAACTTTTTGGTGCCAGTGGACCTTGATTTCTAACTTTGGTTCTCAAACTTGGCAGTCATCAGAGTCACCTCTGACATCAGTCACCAGTGACTCTCCAGAGTCACCTGGAGAACCTGTGGGCCCCACAAAAATTGAGTATTTTGGGGGCAGGGCCTGAGGATTTGCTATTTTAACATCTCCTCCATCTGGATTAGCCAATGTTCTTTGCCTGCAATATAGCCCTTAATTACTTTATAATTTTTCTGTTCTTTTTAATCATAATTTCTTAGCCAAAGCTATATGGTTTAAACCCTGTGGCATTTATCATAGTTACTAAGCATGTGGTCACTACTTTATAATTATTAGCCTACTTAAATTTTTAGCCAAATAAACATTTTTAGTTGTTCATCTTTCAGTGCACATGTTGTTTTTAAAAACTTTTTTTTTTCTTTTTTAGGTATTTAATACAAGGTTGTTTAAAGTCAAAGAAAGGCATTTGTTTCTTACCTATTTAGGAAGAGCACAATATGATCCAACAAAACCTAACTACATCTCTTTGGACAAGTTAGTGTCTTTGCCTGATGAAATATTTTGTGAAGAGATTGCCAAAGCCTCAGTACAAGACTTTGAAAAATTCTTAAAAACTCTTTAGTTTTTGATGAATGTTAAAATGTAATAATATAAAATGAATGTATATATGAATGAATGATACATATTTTTAAATAAATGCCTCAGGCCTCCACTGATGCTGGAAACAATTTCTTGACATTGTGAATTTGGGTACACTTGTGGCAGATCTTTCTTACAAGTTCCTGGTGACTTAATTTTCTTCAACTCAGCCATTTCCTTCCTTCTCAGGGAGGACAGAACTTAAACCACAGCAAGCTGAGAGAAGGAGTGAGAGTCACTTTCCTATGGGCTGGCACACTGTCCTTCTGGTGAGGATGAGGACAGAGGTTTCCCTCTGATATTCGCAGGCCTTCTAAAGTGGTTTCCTCACAAGACCTCTTTATTTTCTTCGAAATGTTAGAAGTTTCTGGAGCATGCTATATTATTATTCACCTAATAGCTACTGTTCACGTAGATAATGCTACAAAACACATTCCATTTTGGATGATCTGTGCTGTATCCTCCTGAGCATAGATATTCAGAGTTGCCCACAAATTGGCTACCGAGAATCGGGAAAGGAAAAAGGATTGGGGGGGTGGGGAGGAGGGGACTAGTGTGAAGATAAGTAAAGGGCAATGAGACATATGGTAAAAGACCATAACAAACCTCTGACTTATTGCCAGTATGCAAAGATTTACAGCATGAACTGATACTCTTTTCCCCATTTATCATTTAGACATGTAATCCTGGGCCAATAATTTAACCTCTGGGTCAGATCCTTATTTGTAAAACAAGGCATTGTGACTTCAGCTATCTGCCTTGGGATCACAAGCTTGGGTGGGTAGTTAACACTGGTGGCTTCCAGTGAACCATCCTGGTATTTGTTCTCCTTGTCCCCTTCCACACTGACTCTGGGCCAATGAGACCTGGTCCCTGAAACATTATCAAGCAGAGGCTAGATAAGTACTTGCACACTGGGGCTTGTCCTCTTGAAACATTTGCTCTTGGAACCTTGAGCCACTGTGTAAAGAGGTTGGGTGACTTGGAGAAATGAGGTGGAGAGAAAGAGGTGTCTGGCCAAACCTCAGCTATTCCAGTCATGCCAAGGGAGCACCAGACATGGGGGGAGGGGGGAAGCGTAGACATTTCAGCCTCAGCAGATGCAACATGGAGCAGAACTATCCAGCTGAATTCAGAATTGGGATAAAAAACTTTTAAAACACTAACTTTGGGGGCAGTTTGTTGTGCACCAGGGTTCTGTGATGTGCTGTAGATCCGGAAGCCTCATAAGAAACTAAATTTATAATTGATGAGGGCCTTCCTGTTAGGTATTTTATTCATTTGCCCAACAGACATTTGAGTTCCTAAAATGTAGTGGTGAATGTGGCATAGATAGGGGCCTTCATGGAGTTCTCTAATGGATGAGATCAATACACAGGAAACAAGGCTCAGCTAAAAAAGCATGGAACCATCCCACTGGTCTTTCTATGGCTCAGAACCTCATTTTGCCTTTATTAACAAACCACTTGTATCAGTCAGAACAGGCTATAATGAACAGTCCTAAAACCTTAAATGGTTTCTTTTTAAAGATTTTATTTATTTATTTGAGAGAGAGAGCACGAGCGCGGGGAGGAGCAGAGGGAGAAGGAGAAGCAGAACCTGCTGAGCAGGGAGCCCGACGCAGGACTCCATCCCAGGACTCCGAGATCATGACCTGAGCCGATGGCAGATGCTTAACCGACTGAGCCACCCAGGTACCCCAAACCTTAAATGGTTTAAAACCACGGAAGTTTTTATCTCATACACATCCTACCTGGGACTAAAAAAGCTCTGCTCCTTATCATCTTTAGTGACAGAGGTTGATGGCGCCTCCACTGTGTCTTAAGTGTAGCCAATCTATGAAAGGGGAAAAGAATGTGAATTGCTCTTAAAAACTAATCACATTTTTCTTGGCCAAAGCGTCACATGGCCATGCCTAGCTTTAAGGGAGCAGAGAAATGCAATCCTACCCACGTGCCCGGAGGGAAATCAAACAATTTTTGAATCAATACTAATGACTGCCAGCAAATATCCAGAACCTCTAGGCTCAATACCTCTAGGAGCTGGATTTTTTTGACAGTCTTGGGCATCTGATCTCTTGACAAGGTCTTCCTTCTCTTACCACCTTCACCGTGTAACCAGCAAGCTGAAACTTAAGGGTAACGAGGAAACAAGAGTTTACTGAGTACTTCTTGTAAAGCAATGTGCCAGTGTTTAAATGTATTGCACTTCTTCACGTCTTTCAGACTTCACTTTGGCTAGCGTAGTCTGGGAGCAGACATTCATGTTTTTAGTGCTGCATACGGGACTGAGTAATGTGAGAATGTGGTGGCACAAAGAAGAAAAAAGGAGAAGGCAACAAAAGTTTAGAACTGGAATGTGACTAGGACCACTGAATCTAACCTTCTGAATTTACAATGAGATGGATTTCTCTATATGGTCCCAGTTCTCCGCTTAAGCCTGAAGTAAACAAAAGTAGATATTCGTGGGTTCTTGTTATGGATTGAATTGTGTCTCCCCAGAAGTCGTGTTGAAACACTAACCCCCAATGTGATGGCATTTAGAGACAGGGCCTTCATAATGTGAATAGTGTCCTTGTAAGGTACAAAAGAGTCTGCCCTGTGAGGACACAATGAGAAGGCAGTCCTCTAAAACCCACAGGAAAAGCTCTCACCTGAAAGTGACCATTCTTGCGCCTTGATCTTGGGCTTCCAGCCTCCAGACCTGTGAGAAATACATTTGTTTTTTAAACTATCCAGTCTGTGGTGTTTTGTTATGGCAATTTGAGCTGACCATGACAGTAATGGTGGTAGGAGGTCACTAGGAACTGAATGAGTCAGTCACACTATAATCGTTTCTGTTCCTAGATTTTAATGCCTTAGACTTAACATGTTGGGGCTGAGGCCTTGAGGGTATGCTTTTATCTTAAAATCACACACAAATTCTGCTCTGTATCTTAGATTAGTATTAAATTTTTCGTGTGTGCTGACCTAACCTACCACAAAAATGGTCTGGTGTAGACCTTAAGCTGGAGAAACGGAAGGCCAGAGAGGGTTAGTATCTCCTGGATTAGTAGTGTGGTATATGGCCCTAGAATTAAGAAGGAGTCCCAAAGTTTTACCCGGATCCTCTGATACTAGAAGATAAATCTGGATTCTTCCTAGCTGTGTAGTCTTGGACAATTTATCCCAACTTTCTGAGCCCCCGTTTCCTCTCTACAATGGGGATAATCATAGTACTTACCTCACGGATTTAGAACTAAATGAGAATTAAAATAATACGCAGGTAAAACGCTTAGCGCGTTGCTTGGCACAAAGGGCGCAATAAATACTCCCTAAATTCCCACAGCTCGTCCATCACAGAACCCAGGCTAAAGCCCCTTATTCCTTGCCTAATGTTCTTCCCATCAGGTCACACGAAATGGTTCACGGAACGGAGCGCGCAAAATGCCCGCCCTACGACATTGGCAGGACTCATGCGGAAAAAACGGCAGGCGCAGGTGCCCCAAGTCGGCTGCCAGAAACTGCGCCTGCGCGGGCGTCCTTCCACGCCAGGCGACGCGACGTAAGGCGCCTGCGCAAGGGCCCAGAGCGTCCTCCAGGACTTACCCAGCAGGCAACGCTGCAGCCTCGGGTCAAAATGGCGAGCAGGCCTGCAGGTAAGTCCCTGGTGGCCTCCCTGACAGGCATTGCCGCACTCAGCCTTTTTTTCTTCCAGTAAATTGCTCCGCTTCCTCTAAGTGGCTAGGTGTCCGACGTCAGGGAAGGTGGAGGCTCCGCTCCAGCCTAAAGGGCGCCTTTCCCCCCACCCTCTTACTGTCCCCAGGCCAGCCGGGCTCCCCCGAAGGGTTGAAGGTGGGTCTGCTGTCGGTGAAGGTGCCCGCGGTGCCTCCGATAGCCCTGCCATTCCAGCTGCCTGTGCTCGGCAGGCCTTCCGCTCGGCCTTAGAAGTGTTCAAGGACACTAGGAGATAATAGTGCGTGACTTTCGACAAAAATGAACCGAGTGCTTGCCGTGAGTCTAGCCCTGTCGTGTGCGATAAATTCTCCTGCCAGTGTGACGAGGGCGGTATTAGTTTCCCTTTTACGCTGATCAGGTAACCGAGGCAAAGTGACCGGAGGAAATAGGTCTGCAAACTTCCTTCCACCCCTCGCCCTTCTCAAACGGAATTCAGGGCAGCTGAGCCAGTGTTACAGCGAAGCTTCAGATTAATTTTTGCTTATCTGGAACGTCAGCTCGGTCTGTAGATTTGGAGAAGTTTGTATTTACTGTAGGCACTAAAACAAACATACTTATTATGCAATAGAATACAGAAATTACCGGAATATTTAAAACAGATCGTGAACACCAAGGATTTTCCCTCCCCCGCACCTTTTTTGCCGGTCTCTGCCCTCTGGAGGTATAAATTGGAGTAGCCTTTAAATGATATTGGCCCCTTTCTCCTCGCCCTCAGCGATGGTGAAACATCAGATTGCCTGAAAAATCCGTTAATCTAAATGACATTGAACTTTTTGGGGAGTGGGGGAGACATTTAGGAATTCGTTGTTTCATTAATTCGACAAATATAGAAGGCACTCTGCTCTGTCCTGTGTTTGAGAACTAGATAGACCTGGTCTCGACCCTATCACTAGCTGGCTCTGATCTTGGATAGGATAAGTTCTGTAAACCTTATTCTTCTGTGAGGACAGGCGTGTTGTAAATAAACCGAGCCAATGTGGGTAAAGCAGATAGGATAGTGCCTAGCACACAAGTGTTCAATGAATATTAATCATCACCGTCAATGGCAAATATGTATACAGATCATTTGTTTTCTACAAGTATGTTTGTAGATTGTTGACTCTTTGGTACTTGTTTTTCTAGGAGCCATCTTCTACATGGTGCTTAATTTTCAAGGAGATTTACCAAAGCTGTGTAACCTGTGATATGCTAAGGAGTAGGGATGAGGAGGGGTTGGAATAAAAGAGTTTGCTTTCATGCCTTGGTGAGAGGCTAGCCCCAGACAAAATTTTAAAAGAAAATTTAAATTTGCT